GGTCTGCTTCTTCAAGACAGGTTGGACGATGTCGTATATGTGTGGAGGGCTGGAACAAGTTCGGGCTAAGGGCCTCCAATACCCATCAGTCTAGGCTTTGGTGCGTGCTTTAGGCTTCCCTCGGGCTATCGGGCTCCTCCGAGGATTTCGGCGACTGCATCTGCTGCGGCCGGCTCGGCTGGCTTCTGACCTGGCGAGCGACGAAGGTTTCTCTTAAGAGGGGTTTAGGGTTTAGGATCTTCCAAAAGGGTGTCCTTCGAGGGGTTTCGGGATTAGTATCTTCCACAAGGGTGTCCTTTGAGGGGTTTCGGGATTAGTATCTTCCAGAAGGGTTTCTCTGAGGGTTTTAGGGTTTAGTTTGAGGCTTTCTAGTTTCGTTAAGTTTTGGAGTTGTAAACACCCCCCCCCCAAAAGGGCTTCTTTGAGAGCAAGGCTTAAGGGCAGCAGGGTTCAGGCGATTTGCCAGCTTCCAGGTCTAGGGTTTCAAGGTTTCGGATGATATATAACCATGCATGGTCCTGCAGGATGCAAAAGGTAATCTATAATAGTGATTGCACCGGGTCAGCCAGCACAGCATGGGACACCTTTTTTTCCTTCGGCGGGCTAGGAGGTGCGTCCTTTCATAGCCCGGATTCCGCACCGGCCACCGGTGCAATGCGATTATTAAGGTCATATCGCTTTGCGATATGAAAAGACTTGCATGAGGCCTTTCACACGCCTCGCACAGAAAACGCCAGCCGGCTAGAAGCTTGCCAGCCCTCATCGCTGTGAATCCCACATCACTCTTCACCTTTTCCCGGCTGTCCTGTGGGACCTGCTCCCTCACCGCTGTGAATCCGGCATCACTCTTCACCTTCTCACGGCTGTCCTGCGGGACCTGCTCCATGAGGACCACGTGCACCCTGTGCGACTGGCACTAGAGGAGCTGGCACCTGCTGCGGAGGGGGCGGCGCCATCTGCTGCAGCAACTGGGTGATCGTCTGCACCGTTGCAAATTGCATGTTGTAGACCGGGCCTGAGTAACACATGCTGAATGAAAGAGTCCAGCAAAAATCTCACGTATTGATCTTTAAAATTAAACAAAAAATTATATAATTAAAGCCAAGATGCTGCACAACGAAGAAATGGTGTGCATCTCCAACATCACGGAATACCATATATCGCATTGCTCGCGAATCCAGATATGACGTGAGCAGTTGGCCCTAGCCATCATTCCTTCCAGCAGCTTGCTCATCTTCTCTGGGTTTTGAAGTCCATGAACTTGTACTGTCAACGGCGAGAGCAGCTGGAGCGTCAGTTTGGACACCTTCTTTCCCGAGCCCAGAAAGTGCTCGTGGAACTCATTGTGCCACCAACTCTTCTCGTCGGGAGGAAGCATCTGAAACTCGTCGGCGTAGCTGCTCAACCAGCGTTGATCCACCAGCCCGAGCTGCCTCTGAGCCTCAGTCCAGGCTTCCATGCACCGAAAGTACGCTCCAGTGTTCATGGCTTTAAACCCAGATCCGGCAGCCTACACTTCAGCAGCAAATTTGAGCCGCGAAACTTCACGTAACAAAAAACTGTCAATCAATGCATCATGGCTGCCATCATCTCCCTCATCAGCGACACCATCCGAACCCTACACCTTAATCATCATTAAGAGCAGGGTTTACAGGCTTAAGGGTTCAAGGTTTGGTGTGAAGGCCGTAGACCACCACCACCAGAAATGCTAAATCCTCCGAACCTCACACCTAAAGCCCCTGAACCCTTTGCTCCCAGGATGGGACCTGCTCCTTCATTTTCTGCTCTTGGGCCGCTTCGGCGTGTCGGCTGCCTGGCCGCAATAACGGTTTCAAGGCTTTAGGGTTGTGACTCCCAGAGTGTTAGCAAACTGGCATTTCATTGAATAATTTTTTTTACACTAATGTTACGGTTTTGCTATGATTTCAAGGATCCTTCCGGTTACGATTATGATACGATTTTGACATGGTTTACGATTTGGATACGGTTTGGATACGGTTTGGATGCGGTTCTGATACGATGTTCATACGATTTCGTGAAATCGTAACCAGAACCGTATCAATATCTTAAACGGGAAAACCCCCTAAATCATTTTATATATAATCATAAAAATAATTCCCGGCGCATACCCTTAGTTTGCTATGTGTGGTATAGGGTTCAAGGCTTGGTGTCAAGGCCTTACACAACCAACAACAGAAATGTTAAATGCTCTGTACCCCTAAGCCCTTCGGTCCTTATACCCGCCAAAAACAATGGAATTACACCCCTAAGCCCTTATACCCCATAAAAACAATCCAATGTCCCAGGATCGGGCCTCATCGTTCTGGCGCCCTCTCTTCGGCTTCTTCGGCGTCTCGCTTGCCTGGCCGCAAGCGAATTAAGGCAACATGGCTTATAGGGTTTAGGGGTTAGGGTTTAGGGTTGAGGGTTTAGGGGTTACGGTCTAGGGTTTTCAGGTTCAGGGTTTACAAGGGATTAGGATTGAGGGTTTAGGGTTTAGGGGTTCGGGTTTAGGGGTTCGGGTTTAGGGGTTAGGGTTTAAGGGTCAGGGTTTAGGGCCTAGGTTGAGCGAGGAAAAGCCTAAACCCTAAACCCGGCCTAAACCCTATATCAAGAGGCTCAAGCTGATCATGCTTGGCTGCGAAGTCGCCAGTCGTTTTCCACCAGTAGAATCGGTGTTCCCACTGCTGTTTGCTCATGACCTCGATAGGGTCCGGAGTCGTGGGATCTGAGGCGTGTCGAATGGAACGGGGTCGAGCCGTGTTGAAGGCTTGGTATAGCTCGAGCTTGAATTGGAGCTCGCAGAGCTTTTCGACCAGGTCCCCGACTGAGTCGATGCGGGAAGCGTTCTTTTCCTCGGATCTCTCCAGGTTCGTCCAATCTCTCCGGGTCGCCGCACTGGATGCCCGAAAATCGCCGCCCAGCTGGGTGCTGGCCAGCCTTCCAAACCCCTAATCCGGCAAAGCCCTAAGCGCCTAAGGCCTCAAACCCTCAGGCCCCCAAATCCTTCTTCCCGAAACCTTGACACTCAAGCCTTTAAACCCTAAACAGCAAACCCTAAAACCTAAACCAAAAACCTTAGTCAAACCCCAAAGACTAAACCCTAAAACCTAAACCCCAAACCTAAAACCCTAGACACTAAACCCTAAAACTTAAATCAAAAGCTTAAACCTCAAACACTAAACCCTAAAGCCTAAACCAACAACCTTATAGCCTTTAACCCTAGGGCCCCGAAAACCTTGAAGCTAAAACCTCAAAAAAATCAAGCAGTCCTAAGTCCTGGAACCACCAACCCTAGGGCAGATACAATGGAGGCTTCCGTAAAGCCAGGATCATATCCTTATCGAAAAGTCAGATGGGACCGATCTATATATAAACCCCACACACCCGATCTCACCGTACTTCGAAGCTCAAACAAAAAAATCCACAACACGAAAATACAGGACCACCCCAAATCCTTATAGCAACATCCGAGGAACCATTTCTTTCAACTATATCTACGTGGATGGCCCTGGGAGATCTTAATCGGGCCCTGGCTTCACATTAAATGTTGTCGGTCTTGGGCCTTTGGAATCTACTTGATTCTAAGAGGGAATGGATGGCTTTTGCAAGGGGCATGGATCTGAGGACTGAAGCGGGGCGGTGTTACTTCGTCCGTGTACACCCACAAAAACCCTAAAGTTTGGGTTTGGGGTTTTGGGTTGAGGTTCTTATATATCCGGTTCGAAGGATGAAGCATTAAGGCCATAGTAGCAATCGGGAATGAGGGGGGCTACGATACCCTCGTCCATAAGTCCGACATCCTTAGCAGATCCGACAAGAACCCCCTGGAAACCCTTTATTTTAAACCTATCAACCCAGAACAGCGTCAGGTCATATGGAAACCCCAGTCCTCGGAAGCCTGCTTATAATTCGAATTCTGAAATAAAACCCACACCCTAGGGCTCCCACGGATCTCCAAGATCGTGATGTTTTCGCTGATGCGGGACGGGGTGGCTATTTGGGGTAGAAGCCCACAGACCCTAGACTTACGGTTTCGGGGTTTCGGGTTTAGGGTCTTTAGGTTTGAGGATTCCAAAGGCTTCCGGAATGAAAGTCCCAACCCCTGAAATCAGCTGATTCAAAGCCTGAAGCAAAACAGAGACTCTGGGAGGTCCGAAGCGAACCCTATCAAATCCGAAACTACCCATACAATTGCACCCCAGCACTAAGTAATGCCTATAGGCTTCCATGTAGAGAGAAAACCCAAAACCAAAATTCCAAAGTAACCCTGGCCTCCTCAAGGTCATTCCAGTTCGCAGCGATGCATGCACGGTGCCACCTCGGAGGACGGGGGCTCAAAGTGAAGTGCAGGCAGGCTTGCGTAATTCCTGAGTTCCGTTCGCCGTCCGGAATCCTTTGTGAGCGGCCCAACAGAAGTTGGATCCTTTCTTTTTGTTCACCTATCAAAGCGGGCGATCGTGGAAAATATTATCGAGAAAGGCGTATTGACTAGCCTTCACGTCTGTCTTCCAGGCTCGATTCAACTTCTCGATGTGAGGCAGCGAGGTCTTGTTGACATAGAAGCAACCAAGCTGAAACCTGTGTTCCAAGCAGAGATCGCGAGTTGAAGTCAAACTGTAAGCTCTCATGTTATAATATATTAATGCCAGGGAACAGAACAGCAATCGTAGATTGCGAGCTCGACTGCTGCGGCAAGCGAACTGTGAAGGACCTGGGTGCTATCACTGCCGCACGACTTGGATTCGCTCGCAGCCACTTGGCATAATGCATGCGAGTTGCATCGTTTCGTCGAGGACATCCTGGGAGGGGATCTTCATGCGACTGTCGTCCTTGGCAATGGCCCGGATGGCACGGATGTTGCGGTCCCTGTTCTCCTGCCCGGGCGAGGGGGGTGTTCGATTATTCTTTCGACCCTGATTAAATATATTGGTCCTTCTGGTAGTCACTGAGCGCCGCGACTCGCGTGCATGCCTGGACGATGATTGCTTCGAGTCGAGCTACAAATTTAAATGGAGAAGCCACGGACAGTCCTCCTCCACAGTGCCGGGCGTTTCCACTTGGTCCTGGCCCTTCGCCTTCTTTGCTTCTCCCTTTGCTGTCGCCTTCGGCTCCTTCTTTGCTTGTCCCTTTGCTTTCGCCTTCGGCTCCTTCTTCGCTTGTCCCTTTGCTTTTGCCTGGCCTTTGTTCTTCAGCTTGTCCTCCTGCTCCTCCAAAAGTACCTCATCTGTGGCCTTCTCGTCCTCTGCATCGAGATCGTCGTCCTCGCCCTGGCCTGCCTCCTCGTCCTTGCTGCCCCTTGAGCGGCCTCGTCCACGACCACGGCCGCCACGGCTGCCACGGCCGCCACGGCCGCCACGGCCGCGACCGCGTGGATTGCCTCGCCCTTGCACTGCCTCGTCTGTCTGCACCTCCGACAAGCTGGCAGCATTCCGGATCTGCTGCTGCACCTGCCAGAGCACGACTAAAACCAATGAAACTTAGAACCTGGGGCCAAAGCTGATAAGTAAAAGGATTATATGAGGGCCCTCAAGACCACTATTACAGGGTGGGGGCAGCTTCTAAGGTGTAGGGCTCAAGTTGGGAATCTCTTGTCCAGGGTTTAGCATTAGGGCTTTTGGGTTTAACTTGTACTGTTGGTTCCAGGGATTCAGGGATGAGGAGATGGCGTTTATTGTGGGGTTGAGAAACTGTTTACGGAGCTAACATCCAGGACTAGGATTGTGACCCTAAACCGTAACCTGCTATAGAGCCCTGTCACCGATTTTTTGTTGCTTCACTCGGATCGCGACTCCTCAGCTAGTTTCGCCGAGGCATCCGCTGGCTCCTGGGTTGGGGGTTTAAAGGGAATTTGGTAGTTGTAGGCTTTCTGGGCCTTTGGGAGGCTTTAGGGGTTTGCTGCATTCTAGGGGTTGCGGTGTTTAGGGTTTCATAGGTTTTGGGGGTTCGGGTGGCTTTATATAATTTAAGGATTTAGGGATTTTGGTGGTTTTCTTTTTTTGGACCCTGTCCTTCTTCACATCCTTGTCCCCAGCTTCCGACGAGGCCCCCTCTTCCTGGGTCAAGGAACCCCCTTACAGAGTACTCCCATAAGACCCCCTTTACCTTAAGATAGGAGTAGTCTGGGAGGCTTCTGGGAAACAGCTAACCTGCTGCTTATTATAATAGATCCGAGCCACGTCGATCTCGTACACACCGATGAAGCGGCGCCGCCGCCGCTTCTTTCCAGAGGGCTCCTGCAGGTCTAGCTCGGATACACACCCAACGGCAAAACCCGTACATGCAGCCCAAAACCCTGAAGCCCTAACTAAAGCCTGACGAAGCCCTTGACTCTACCCGGATACTAAGATGTCCCAGCCTTTGACTTGGGCTTATCCTCGGAGCTCGAGTCTACGTCCACTGGCAGATCCTTGGAAGGACTCAGTATTTCACAGCCCTAAAGCATGCACTAAGCCCGAAAGCTTCATTGCCCCAGCCTTCAAAGCCAAAGGCCGCTTCTTCGTGGAGTCATCCGCAGGCTCATCCTGCAGGGAACTGATTATATCTTTAAAGATACATTCACCCTACACCCCAGAATCCTTCAACCCCTATATATAATAGCCAAGCAACTCTCGAAGGACTTGGCTCATGATCATCCTGCAGGGATTAACTGTTTAAAGATACATGCACCCTACACCCCAGAATCCTTGAACCCCTAGCTTATAGCCAATGCCTCCGAGCTCGGCTCATTTGTGCTCGCCGCAATTGGCCAAGGCCCAATCATAGGCGGCAGAGATCTCGGAGGACTTGGCGGAGGCGGCCCCGGGGGCGGCGGGAGAGGCGGTGCCAGCGGAGCTGGCGGTGGCGGGGGGATGGGAAGCATCCGTGGGGGGTATGGTGGCGGGGGCGGGGGCGGCGGCCCCCCGCCCCACTTCGACCGTAAAAATCTAGCCATGGCTGAGGGATTGGTCCCTGTGCACCCCTGAAGCCAGGAAAGGCTGCAGTTATGTGCAATTGCACCCAATCCAGCCAACCCCAACCGCTACTTCAGGTATTAGGGCTCGGTTGTTGGAACGGAAATTAGGGGTTTTACAAGAGGTTTTGGACCACATCAAGACCCTTCCATTCCATATGTGTTGGGTTCTGGGTTTCGAGTTTGGGATCGGAGGTTACGTTGTTAAAGCATGGACCCTGCATCCCGGAATTCCAGTACCTCCTCAATTCTCCAAAAGCCACAAAGCACACCCGGGCACCTCCAGGATGCCACCTTTGTCGCTGGCCTCCTGGGAGACCTGCTTCTGCAGCTTCTCGGCCGATTGCTGGAGTCCCTCGCTCACAGCGGCTGCGGGCCTCTTCATACCTCTTCGCTCCTGCCCATGACAAGTCTTCAGCACTATGTACTCCTAAGCCAACGAATTCCTAGACAGCACCAAGCCTGAATCCTGAATGGAACCCTGCACAAACCCGCCAGGGCACTGCGATCCGAAACCCACAACCCGCCCCGAAGCACTCCTTCTGGGCATCGGCATTCTTTTCGGCTTCTTCTGCTAAGGCTTCTTCGGCTGCAGCTGCCTCGGTGTCGCTGTCCACCGGCGCCGGCGGGGCATGGGGCTTGCAAGGGGTCTTTGGGAAGCCGGTAGGGTCGTCGGGGTCCGGAATGATTGCATCATTATCCATCTCCTCTTCTTCACCGCCCTCCTGAGCGTGGTCCGCCATGTCCTCGTCGTCCAAGTACTCAGCGGGTCCTGTGGCGGGGATTTAATTTTCTCGGACCCAGGAGCTCAGGAAGTGCAAGTTTTGTTGGGTTCCTGATAGCTCGGGCTCGTGGGCTCAAGGCTTAAAGTTATTACCGATCCCATAACATCCCAAACTTGCAGACTGGATCAATCGGCGTCTCACGGTTAGGGTTCTGTAGAGCTCAAAGTCGGAGAATTCCCAACCCTTTAAACCGCCACCCCGCCTGAGCCTTCGGAGAAGTCTCCCCACTCCCTGGTCGGCAGCCGATTTGGGTCTTCCAGAGGAATCTTTCTCTCCTGTGATCAGAGTGCGAGGTGATATTACAAATCGGATTCAATTATTTGTTGGGTGTCCTGATCTTTTTCTTCTTGCAAAGTGTTCACCAGCTTCTTGAGAAGGGCCATGTTCTTGCTGCCGCTCCTTTGGGCTAGAGCGAAAAGAGAGGGATTCTCAAGAAAACCGAACCTGGCCGGCCTGGCATCAAAGTTACGGCGGCTGCGGTCCATGACGTGCGACATCAGGGCCCGGTGGAGGTCCCCCTCGGTTTTCGCCCAAGCCTGCCCGAGAAACACCGAATGTGCAGGCTTGGCGGCTTGGCGTGAACAACTTCCTGCCTCCCGGGCTGCAACCGAACACTTCTTTCCCAGAAGTTTTCGATCTTCGGCGACGTTCTCAAGGGCCGCTTTCATCTCGATAGAAGTGGGTATCTTCAAGCCTAGGGTCGTCAGGAGCCTCGCGACCAGCTTCGCATTGCAATCATCCTCCACCTGGGCCGGGGTTAAGGGCTTGGGCATCCACCCCCGAAGCAGGAAATCCTAAACCGAGTACGACCGGGGGGGGTATTTGGGGTCCCAAATTTTCAGGGTTTACGGTTTAAGGCTTAGAAATAATGGGTAATAGGGAATATATGGTCCGTATATAAAATTTAAAACGACATCTGAGGCGTGAGGAATCTTCGTGGCGATCTCTAGGTCCGAAAGCCCATAACCCGAAGAACCCTAAGCACCTCATCCCGGCCGATGGTTCCGCCCCGGAGGTTCACGAAGGAAAACACCACCGGAGCCTTTCAGAGGCTTGGGGCAGCATTTACAGGGCTAAGGCTTAACACAGATTTGGGGATTTGTGTTTGGAAGAGGGCCTTCCCCTGCTTCAGCAGCCGTTGCATCTTTTCGGGTCGCACATTCTGCATCTTGCACAGCTCCGTGACCCTTTTCTCCTGGTAGTCATTGGCCTCCAGGATGCCGGTGTAGAGGTCCTGACAGACAAATGGTAGGACCCCCCATAAGGCCAATCACCCTAAAAACCAGCTACCCGATCCCTTGTGCCTGCAAATACCGCACCCGAAGCGACGGAGGCTTGCTCTTCGGCATCCGCAGCACCAGGGCACCAGCAGTGCTGATGCACGGAAAAAAAAGCTCTTGAGCACCAGCAACCGCCCGGAAGCTGCTTTTAGTGAGACATGACATGCACTCAATAAGTCAAGACTGGCCGGGGCAACCGCCCGAGTCCGTCTCATTTTCCACAATCTCATTCTTAATATCCAGACCTTGAGTCCAACAGAAATTAGCATCGATTTCATTTGGAAACCCCTGCCCGAGTAGCTGGGATCACTGCGAGAAAGCAAGGCCTTTTTCATAGCCAATCAGGCCGTACCTCAGGATCAGTACTTTCAGTCAATTCCCTGCCAGAATCTTGGGCACCAGCGGAATCTCCTCCATCGGCGCCAGCAGAAATCATCCATCCGTACCTCGCTCCCCGTAGAAATCGCTAGGATGATTACACCTCTAAAGTCGAGATTCTCGGGCACCAGCCCAATAGTTCGGGGATCGGCGCCACGAGAGCCCGCCACAATCCATAAGTACCTGGGTCCAGGAAAGTGCACAGTCGTATTACACAGGAACCGAGACCCTGGGGCACCATCCGACATCAGCGAAGATCGAGGGCACACCCATGGCGAGTCGGATTCAACCCTCACATGAAACCTGTAAGTGCAGGGCTGTTTCTGGAAATTATTACATGCGGGCCGGGACTAGAGGGCCTTGGGGCTGAAATTATTGTTGGAGTTGGGACATGGTGTGGCTTGGGTTTGGAGTCGGGAAGTACTGCTGAACCTGTCATGTGCAGCAACTCACAGCACCCCTCGAAGCCCGAAGTGTATCCCAAAGTCCCGGAATCCCGAAACCCAAATTAGCGTTTCGGGATATAGAGTTTGGGATATTGGGAATTTGGGGGTAGAATCTAGGTCGCTTATTGGCGGGATAAATCGGGGTCGTTTCCATTATGTCGGCGTAGGCTAAAACGGGGTGGTTCACATTGATATTGTGGATTGCTGTGTCGGGGCAAAATAGGGTGGTTTCCATAAAGTTGTGGTTACATGATCTACAACATCAGGTGGGGAAAAGTAGGGGCGCTCGGGGCCCAAACCGGGTGGTTCGCAACCACCCCGAAAACTATGGTCGAGGAAGCACAGGGATTATTATGATTATTATTATGTCTGGACAGACAAGACAATGGGAACTAATGTAAATTTCCGTCACAGGATCAGAGCAAGGGAGACAAGACTATGGAGCCCACGAAAGCCCAGACCCAGGCCAGGAAAGTGTCTGTCTGTACGGTGAAAAATTGCACCTTTTCTGGCAGGAGCCCGGAAAAGGCCAGAAGGGCGACAAAGGAGCGAAGAACCAGGACAGCATCGGTGCATGATGTAGAATTAATGTCTGGACAGACATTTATACAGTTGAGACGGTGTTTTGCCGTGTGGAGGCGAAGGCCAAGGGACCCTGAGACTGCCGAGGAGCCCGGGATGGATGATGGACATCGGGTTTTGCCCACGCACATGAGATACAAAGGGGATCTCGCAGATTCGTTTTGGGAAGGTTTTGGGAAGAAGTACTTTAAGGTTTGTGGAGCCTGTCAGTTTTTTAGTTTTGTGCCGAGATCCTCGGAATTGCGGGCCCATGTGAATGGATGCATGAGGCGAAGCTGCTCGAAAAATTTTCGAGGCATCGATGCTGTGAGCTCGCTTTATGTTGGAGCTCGCAGAGTCTACAATCTGGATTTGGAGCAGATGGAGCATGGGGATGGTTTCAGTTACCAATAGGTCTAGAGCTATGTGTAGGTGGCAGTTTAAAGCTTAGAATCTAGTGTAGAGTTTAGATCTATGATTGGCAAATAGAAATAAGGTCTGGACAGACGCCGGCTCCAAATTCAAGAGTTTTTGAAGCTGCCTGATCTGGCCTCGAGTGTGCATGTGGGCTTTGAAACAGTATATAGAAGTCTAGAGTAGAGAGATGATAGATATGAGGCTAAAGAACAGAAGTGTGTGTGTGTGTGTATATCATAGATGCAGTGTGCATGTGGGGTTTGAGACAGTATATAGAAGTCTAGAGTAAAGAGATGATATGAGGCCAGAGAACAGGAGTGTGTGTGTATCATAGATGCATCACCAGTGATCGTTTTGACCGCCCTGATCTGGCTCCGTATGGGTTTAGCCACAGTATATATATATATATATATATAGTCTAGAAGCCGGAGTAGAGCCAATATGGAGCCAGAGCACAGGAGTGTGTCCGTATCACAGACGCACCACCGCCCAGAATATCGAGGCGAGAAGAAACAAAGAGGCTGAGCCAGGGAAACAAACCACCGAAACATGTGATTTCATGTGTTGTCCTGTGGCCAGAAACAGAAACACACATGAATTCATATGATGATCCCTGAAAAACAAACCCAAACACATGAATTCATGTGATGATGCCAGAACCAACAGAACGAAACACATGATTTCATATGATAGTCCACCAACGAGCAGAACCACGCACATGAATTCATGTGTCCTATGCACAACAGAACAATGCAATCACATGACATTCATGTGAACACAACAAAGCATTCACATGATATTCATGTGACAAGGGATTTGTTCACATGATGATCACATGAACCACAAAAACAACACATGATGATCATGTGAACAAAAACGCCAACACATGAACATCATGTGACAAAACCGCCCATTCACATGAATAACATATGAACCCAGGAGAGCAAACATATGAATTCATGTGTCATAATGTAAAAGAACCAAAGCCAACATGTGAATTCATGTGTCATAATGTAAAAGAACCAAAGCCAACATGTGAATTCATGTGTCTTAACTAAAAGCAGACCACACGCACACATGAATTCATGTGTTGTCCTGTGCCAAACAACAAAACGACACATGAATTCATATGTTGTCCTGTGCCAAACAACAAAACGACACATGAATTCATATGTTGTCCTGTGCCAAACAACAAAACGACACATGAATTCATATGTTGTCCTGTGCCAAACAACAAAACGACACATGAATTCATGTGTGGTCCTGTGTCAAACAACAGAACAACACATGAACTCATGTGTTATCCTGTGCCAAACAACAGAACAACCCATGAATCCATGTGTCATCCTGTGCCAGGCAACAGAACACCACATGAATTCATGTGTCGTCCTGTGACCACACCCACACACAATTATACTTAAGTGCATATCCCCCACACACATACATACATACATACATACATACATACATACATACATACATACGCACATACACACACACATACATACATATCTGCACACACACACACACACACAACATAACACAAAGGATCCACACACATGAAACCACCCTCCCATCCAACACCACACCCACCCCAGCCACCCACCCACGCAGCCTCCAACCGGTAACCACCAACCACCCACATGCACCTTTGCCACCCCACCGCCCAAGCACCCAACCACCGAAGCAGAAAACCACCCAACCCAAACCCAAACCCAACCGCCCAACCCCAACCACCCAACCCCCAGCCATTCAACCGCCCAGCCACCCAACCACCCAACCCTAACCAACCCCCCCAACCACCCCCAAAAGCTGGGGCCGCCAGCACCCCTCCCCCCACCCTAGCTTTACTCACTTTTAATGCAGAGACGAAGCCCCAGTGCTGGAGCAACATTGGTTTCTAAACTGTCAGACCCAAACCTATATATACACCTGCAACCCTCAATTACTTCTAAAAAGCGGAAACCCTGAAACCGACCCCCCCTTCAAAAACAATATATATATATATATATATATATATATATATGTGCATATAGATATAGGTATGTATATGTATCTATATGTATATATATATATATACACATGTATGTATTTGTTTATTTATAAGCTCTAAACACCTTACACGATACACTTCGTGAAGACGTATTGTCTGGACAGACAAGATTAGAATGCGATTCCATGTCTGGACAGATACGGTCGCTAGAGATTGAGTGTGTCTGGACAGACAAGGAACTTTTCACGAGATTCATTAATGTCTGGACAGACAAGGAACAAGAGCAGACTGGAATCATAGTCTTTTTCATAGGAGAGATTTGTCTCAAAGAGATCGATATTCGAATAGGAGCATAGCTTGAGAGATCGAGCCATGAAGAAGCCTGCAGCAACCGTGAAGGCGGTCGGGAAAGTCGCAAAAGCCCTCTTGAAGAAGCCCGCGACGAAGCCTGGCCAGAACTTGAAGCCGGGCAAGAAGGTCGAGGAGGAGGTTGTCGACAAGGAGACAAAGCACGACAAGCAGCCGGAGAAGAAGAACAAGAAGCAGTCCACGAAGGAGCAGCCCAGCAAGAAGGACGAGAAGAAGAAGAACGACAAAGAGAAGAAGAACGAGAAGCAGCCCAAGAAGAAGAACGACAAGGAGAAGAACGACGAGCACGAGGACGACGAGCACGAGAACGACGAGCACGAGAACGACGAGGAGCAGGAGGACGACGAGGAAGGCCAAGAGGTCGATCCCGGAGAGATGGCTTTGGTGCCAGTCCAGAAACAGCCCCTGAGCTTGAAGAACATCAAGACTCACGCCGAGCTCTTGGAGGTGAAGGGCTGGTCGGGCAAGGACGTCTGGAACGCCTTTAAGATGTTGCCCTCGGGTGAACAACAGATGGTCTGGAAACTCTTTGAGAAAGGACGGCAAAAGGAGGGATGTGATGCATCCTACCGAGACCAGACAGCCGGTGCCGGTGGCAACAAGAGAAAGCAAGACATGTTGACGAGCTGGCTTCTTGATGAAGGGAAGTGCGGGGATTATTATCAGAAAGCATGCCTGCAGCTGACGAAGATGAGCTCGCGGCAGCTGAAGGTATCTTGGGAGCCCTGGAAGGCCATGACGAATCGCTACGGCAAGACGGAGGCCTTAGCCCGCTTGAAAGCCGGAACCATGAAATGGAGAAGGTCGAAGACAGACAGCAACTTTTTGGAGTTCGCCAATGTGGTCGACAAGGAAGCCGAAGGCTTTGTGAAGCAAAAGAGCTGCTCAGTGGAAGGCCCCGACAAGAAGGTCAAGAAGGAGAGAGCTGCTGCCTTGGACAAGCTCACCTTCGATGAGCTCGAGGACATGGAGATGGTGAAGGGCATGAAAATCGACGCCGACTTGAAGAGTGTCATCACGAGGAATGCTGGCGGTGTTTCCGAAGACTCGAGCTCCTCCGAGAAGGATGACAGCAGCGACAGCAGTGACAAGAAGAAGTCGAAGAAGAAAAAGAGCAAGGCGACATCGTCGAAGAAGACTTCCAACTGCTTCGAAGACGAAGAGCATGGATGATTGGGAAAAGTTGTCGCAGGTTGACGACACAGACAACAAAAGTGAGTTCAACAAAAAGTTGACCCTCTTCAAGTCCGAGCTGCAGAAGGAAGAGACCTTCTTCCAGATGCTGCTTTTGGAGTCTAAGCTCAAGAAGGACGAGAGGAAGAACGTCCAGCAGAACCTGGATGATCTGACGAAGACCTTGAAACAGGTGGGGGCGAGCATCGACAAGATCGGCAGCAAGGAAGCTGTGAAGAAGAGCCTCCTGATGGCTTTGACGACGTTGAAGGCTTCGAAGACCCTGAAGAAGAACTTGGCAGGCAAGAAGACCCAGACCCAGGACGAGAAGCTCAAGCGAAAGAAGGGTGAAACAAGTGAAGAGAGCTGAGCCCGCTGAGCCCTTTCGATGTGAGATCAATCGATTTTAACATAGTTTTCGGAACGGCTGAGGCAGACTGAAAATCGATCAGTCCTAGACCGAAGCCTGACAAACCTTAGAGCCGGCTGAGGCAGACTGAAACTTGATCAGTCTTAGACCGAAGCCTGAAAAACCTTCGAGCCGCTCTCGCTTCTAAGAAGACCGAGGCTCGAGTCGTGAAAAAAGCCTGCAGCAGGTTTGTACATATGCACTAGCTGAAGATTCCCATAGCATCAATGCCTGGACAGGCAGAATATCGATCAAAATTGGCCCTTCCAAGCCTTAATGCCTGGACAGGCAGTACGTCGATCGGCACTTGCTGCATTTCCAAGTTTTTATGCCTGGACAGGCAGAATTTCGATCAAAATTTGCCCTTCCAAGCCTTAATGCCTGGGCAGGCAGAATTTCGACCAAAATTGGCCCTTCCAAGCCTTAATGCCTGGACAGGCAGTATGTCGATCGGCAGTTGCTGCACTTCCACGCATTAATGCCTGGACAGGCAGAATATATTAATTGAATCCAGTGCTGCAGCCATAGAAGTTCGAGCAGTTTGGAAATGTAGATTCACCTAAAGAGGTGAAATGTGAGAGACGCCATGGCGAAAAAGAGAAAACATAGCCTTGATGAAGCCCCTTCGCCTCTGAAACTCTTGTTGCTGGAAGAGTTCGCTTTTGGGCGACTTTCGGCTTTGAAAGTGCAGAAAATGGCTGCAGCAGCAGCAGCGAGCTGCAAAGAACCCAGCTCAGACCTGCTGAGTTTGGCGATGCTGGGAGGACAAGGCAGCAGTGCTCAGAACTGCCACAGAGACTTGATGAAGATGCTGAGCTCTGGCAGAGCGCCAGAGAGCACTTTGATCTACACCCCTGTGTCCTTGAGAGACAAGAAAACTGGTGGTGCCGTGGTGGAGCCGAAGCAGGTGCCTCTGTTTCTTCCCCACGAGTGGTTCGATGTGCTGGAGAAGAACGAGTTGCTCCAGATGTTCACCGCAACTTGGTGAGTACTTTGAACTTTGAGTTTTTTGTGTTTTCAAGGAATTATATAAGGATAAAGCTTAACTTTTTAGTGAGTACTTTGAACTTTGAGTTTTTTGTGTTTTCAAGGAATTATAAAAGGATAAACTTTTTACGTGGGTATATTGGAGAAGTATGAGGCGACAGAGAAAGAGATCCGAAAGTTTTGGCAATGCCAAGACTTTGACACAAATCCACAACTCTTGAGAAGCAGAGACTACTGGCGAAGCTTCAATGTCATGGAAAAACTACCGGTTCCCTTGATCCTTCACGGCGATCACGCTTCTTTCAGCGAGACAGATTCGCTCCTGATAGTAAGCATACGATGCATGATAACCAAGAGATCGATTAAGACCTCGGAATTGTTGATTGCTTCGTTGCCCAAATCAGCGAATGCCGGGTCCTGGACAGCTTTGTGGGAACAAATCTCAGAGAGTTTGACACGACTGGCCTCGAGTCACAAAGCTGTGGTCATGGCTTTGGTCGGAGACCTGGAGTTCTTTGCACAAGAGTTCGGATGGCCCACGGCGAACAGCAACGAATTGTGTCCATACTGCAAATGTGATAATAGATTCAAAGATGCAGATGCAGTCGCCCCGTACAACGACTTTAGAGCTGGTGCTGAGTGGAGAAGGCAGCCGAGAGAACCAAGAGAAAATGAACACCCTTTGTTCAAAGTTCCTGGGATAAATTTTTGGTCCCCGAAACTCGATGTGTTGCACATGTTAGACCTGGGAGTCAGTTCGCATGTTTATGGAAACTTGATCAACGACATCTTGGAGGACCACCTGCCTGGGAACTTCGGTGCATCCCTTGGAGCTTTGAATGCAAGAATCGTGGAGCTGTACGAGAGTCGATCGATCCCAGCGAATGCCAGAATCCCGAAGCTGAGCAAAGGGAACATTCATGGTCAGACTGGGTACCCGTGCCTGAGCCATGTGAAAGGGCGACGAATACGCCAGTTCTCGAGTGTGGCTGTGGATCTGGCAAACTTGTACAAGCACACAGACGCAGGAAAACATCGTTTTGAAGCAGTGAAAGCCCTGGACGAGATTTACGAGCTGTGTGACAACCAGAAGTATAAGTGTGACAGAAGGGAGCAGCTTGCATGCATGTGAAATAATATGAACTTTGAGCTTTTTGGTTTTCCCGTAAAAGTATAAGGCAGATTGTTCGTTTTCATCTATATATTGGATATCAGGCACAGAAAGATGGAGAAGGAGATTGACAAACTGCTCCTGCACTACACTTCCTTGAGCAGAGATGCTTTCGACAGAGGAAAGAAGAGGTACAGTGTCACCCAGAAGTTCCACCTGACGGCACATTTTCATCTTCAGTGTCAATTTATGACACCAAGACTTGCTTGGACCTATGGTCCTGAGAGTTTCATGTCGGTTTGCAAGAAGATCGCTGCCTCATGTGATAGAGCAACTCCAAGCTACCAGATTCCACTGAAGATTGCTGGAAAATTCGCATTAGCTTACGAGATCCTGCTACGAGGATGGCTGAATCTGGATGAAGATGAGGAGTGAGGAAAATAATTCTGCTTGTCAGGGTTTAATAATAATGTCTGGACAGACAAGTCGGATGAGGATGAGGAGCGAGGGAAATAATTTTGCTTGTCAGGGTTGAATAATGTCTGGACAGACAAGTCGGATGAAGATGAGGAGTGAGGGAAATAATTTTGCTTGTCAGGGTTGAATAATGTCTGGACAGACAAGTCGTGCATGGTGCATCTTGTGTTCCAGCCTCGTCAGGGCTGAATAATGTCTGGACAGACAGGTCGTGTGTGTTCTAGCCGCATGTCAGGGCTGACTAATGTCTGGACAGACAGGTCGTGCATGGTGCATCTTCTGTTTTAGCCACCCAGACCATCAAGGGTCCAGACTCTGGAATCTAAACCCTATGTTAACCCTTATATATATATACTTTAAAGAAAAAGGTCTGTCCAGACCCAGACTCTTTAAACCCTATGAAACCCTAAACCCTAAAGCAAAAAATTATCCCGAATCTGTCCAGACTCTTTAAACCCTAAAAACCCTAAAACAAAAGGTCTGTCCAGACCAGGCATCAAGAATCTGTCCAGACTCTCTAAACCCTATGAAACCCTAAAACAAAAGGTCTGTCCAGACCAGGCATCAAGAATCTGTCCAGACTCTCTAAACCCTATGAAACCCTAAAAAAAAAGGTCTCATCACCGCCGTTTCCGCCATCCCAGACTCCAGCTTCATCCCAGCCAAATGATCACCAACGGCTTCAACCTCACAGTGAGAAGATCCGGGTCGCCTCATTGGTCCCACACTCCTCTGACTGGAACCGGGGCTCTTTGCCCTTCGCTCTCTTGCATTGGGTCCTCTGATCCTGCCGCGCTCAACCTTTGTTCACTTTCCAGCTTATCCAACCGAGATAGAACCGTAGCTTGAGTCATCCGCGCCTCGTCTAACATAGGCAACAGATTCGACTGCAGCGTTGATTGCAAAAGGACTCCAAGCTGGCTCATGAGATCTGGAGCCGGCACCGGTATGCTCTGAGCACCACTTGTTTGGGCATCCAGTTTCTGAATACCCCCCTCACCGGGCTCCACCTGTCCTCCCAAGTCTCCGCGCCCGTAATCCGGAATAAGCTGTTGTTCGTCTAGCTCTCGGGTTGTTGACTGTGCCATCCCCAGCTCACGCTCCATCCTAGACAGCTCGCTCTGTTTTCCACCGAACCTTCGCCATCATTACCAGAAGAAGCATGAGGGGTTTGGGCAATAGCAGTGTCGTAATCTGGTTCGTGCTGCATCATCATTTGGTAGCTGCATTCGCTCGGTATCTTCATGTAGCTGCTCAAACATCTCCTGCACTGATCTCCCCCACATGCTCATAACCCCCGTTTGGGGGAGAGCACTATTTCAACCACCGCACGACAAAAGACGACGTGATCATGAAACTATACATCTACAGATCTGTCTTTCTGTACACTTCTGTCTTCTGGTGATACGTTTTGTGCGTGTCATTCTTGTGCTGGGTTTTGGGCCACTCGCATTCACAGCACCATCACACCTCCCACACCACTCAGTAACAATACCGAGGTGGCAAGCAGTCAAACGCAATAACGATGATGCTGAGGATACGACCTGGCTGTGAGCTGTTCCGCGGGTGTAAATGGTCGTTCCGGAGTCTTCTTCGAGTGACTGAGGGGACATTTGTCACCGTTTCGACACCCTGCATCCGTGAAATGAAACTTGCAGCGGATGTGCTTCTTGCTCTTGTCGTCCTTTGCCTCCGCGGACGCACTTCTGGCCTTCTTCTTTGGCTTCGGCTTCGTCTTAGCATGAGCTTTTGCCTTTCCCTGTGGTAACACGGGAGCAGCAGCGTCAGGCTTCGGACCTCCCTTGATCTTTGGAGTTGGTGCTGCAGTAGTCTTGTTGTCAGGAGTTTGGGCCGGTGCAGCAAGCATGTCCATGCCTTCCAACATCTGACGAAGTCCAACTTGGGTCTGGGCAAGATTTGATTGCTCACGCCTTCGCATGATGGTCCTGTCAATGATCCTGATGAGGTTCTCATATGATCGGTCCTCAGATTGCAAGGCAAGTCCTCATAGTGCATGCCCAAATCCATCTTCATGGTGGCGGAGTCCTTGATCTTGTTGTACAAACAGTCGCGAAGAGCCGTTGTGGATGGTACATCCTCAGGTCTCATTCGCCCAAGAACTTCTAGCCACGTCTGATTGAACGTGTGAAGCTTGTTGTCACCCTGGTACTGAAGCTTGACAAGATAATCCAAGGTGATGATCATGTCTAGTCGATCATGCGTCCTGAAACTTTCGCACATCATCGCGATGATTAGCCGACCTTTGATGATCCTTCCTGCGGGTGCACGGATGTATTCAGTCGCTCTCGATTCACTTCCAAGTAAGAAAGATCAGCTGCCTTGTCACCACCGGCACCCGACATCGCCGTCACGGCGACGCTCAACT